GCTGCGAACGTGACGTGTGCGGGCCCCCGGCGCGGTAGGTGGTGGTGCTGGCGAACGTGACGAGCGTGGGCGTGCCCCGGCGCGGGCAGGTGGGGTGCTGCTACGTGACGAGCGTGCGGTTCCCCCGGCGCGGTATGTGGTGGTGCTGCGAACGTGACGAGCGGCGTCCACCCGGCGCTGAGGTGGTGTGCTGCGACGTTACGAGCGGGGCGGCCCCCGGCGCGGTAGGTGGTGGTGCTGGCGACGTGACGAGCGTCGGGCCCCCGGCGCCGGCGGTGGTGGTGCTGCGAACGTGACGAGCGTGCGGGCCCCCGGCGCGGCAGGTGGTGGTGCTTCGCAACGTGACGAGCGTGCGGCCCCGGCGCGGTAGGTGGTGGTGCTGCGAACGTGACGAGGGTGCGGCCCCCGGCGCGGTAGGTGGTGGTGCTGCGAACGTGACGAGCGTGCGGCCCCCGGCGCGGTAGGTGGTGGTGCTGCGAACGTGACGAGGCGTGAGGCCCCCGGTAGCGTGTCGGGCCCCCGGCGCGGTAGGTGGTGGTGCCTGCGAACGTGACGAGCGTGCGGCCCCCGGCGCGGTAGGTGGTGGTGCTGCGAACGTGACGAGGGTGCGGCCCCCGGCGCGGCAGGTGGTGGTGCTGCGAACGTGACGAGCGTGCGGCCCCCGGCGCGGTAGGTGGTGGTGCTGACGGGCGCACGTGACGAGCGTGCGGCCCCCGGCGCGGCAGGTGGTGGTGCTGACTGGCGCCAGCTCAGGACTGGGCGAGGCGCTGGCGCACCGACTGTACGCCGCCGGCTGCCGGCTCATCATCATGGCCAGGAGCGTCGACCAGCTGGACAGGGTGCGCCAAGACGTCATGCTCGCCCACCAGGTCAGCGACCGTGCCGCTCGCCACACTCATGCGAGAGTGACGCGCAGCGCTGGGATGACGGGCGGGGAAGGGGAGCTGCTCGCCGCACTCACGCGCGCGTGACACGCGGCGCTGTGATGACAGGGACGGGGGAGGGGGGAAGGGAAGTGCTTTGTGCGGTAAGTGCTTTGGTAAAGAAAGTGCTGCGAGAAGGTAAGTGCTTTGTAAGTGCGCTGTGGCAAAGAAGTACCACTTGCATGCTGTTGAAGCTCTTATTGCACTCGTGCTGCGAGAGGATGTTTCGAGCTTTTGCGAAACCAGTGATAATGATGATACCCAAATGAAGCGTTCTGTGCTGCTACTGGGAGACGCCGCCAACATCTGGTCTTTTAGGTAACGTTTTCTGTACCAATTTCGTAAGGTACGCACCCCCACATGCTGGCGTCCGTTCCCTTGACAGCAGGTGTCTTATGACGTCATACGCGTATGATGGTTTGGTTTTAGCAGGTCAGCAGGTATCGCATGTGTATATCGTCATAACACACGCCATCAGTGACGTAAGCAGAGCAGGCCTGGATCACGATCTGGACGCCTGTTCTCGGACCTGCCTCAGCGGGAGCTGGTGTACCCGCCGGTGGTGCTGCCGCTGGACTTGTCCGACTCGGACGGCGTGAGGGCGGCCGTCGGCAAGGCTCTGCGCGTGTTTGGCCGTGTGGATGTGCTCATCAACAACGCCGGCGTCAGCTATAGGTGAGCGACGCACCGTACGCTGTTTGGCGGTGACAACGGGCAGACTGACGTGCGGCGATACAGACGGATGCTACGGTAATGCTCTTATTCGTTATGGAAATGCATTGGTTACACTTATCGTGTATATTTTGTATTCCTTTATAAAAACTTCATGTGAGCAGCTGATGTGGCGATTTCCGGTCGGGTTTCGTCAAGAGGCTTGCGCTAATCACCAGGCCGTAATTTGATCAGCATCGCTGTGTTTCTCCGAGTAGCCGCGTTCCTTAGCTGGAACATGTCTAGACAGTGGTTGCCTCCGACGTGGCGGTACATTACCGTAACTTCTCGGCGGGAGTCTTAGCTTTTGCAGACCTACGAATCTCATCGGGCTTATGGTGCATCGAGACCTGTGGTGCTGTCATTGGGGTCACATCGCAGGATGGTCTTCTTCATTTTACCAGACTGGTATTGGTCTCGCACATCAGGCGCAGCCCGTGCGAAGCGCTGCTGATTGGCCGTCCGTCTCTGACGTCACGCCGTAGCATTTGTCAGACGCTGGTGATTGGCTGTCTGTCTCTGACGTCACGCCGTATCACGTGCACTGCGCTGGTGATTGGCTGACCGTCCTTTACGTCACGCGACAGGGGAGAGGCACTGCACACCGAACTTGAGGTGGACGCTCGCCTGATGCAGGTCAACTACCTCGGCCAGCTGGCCGCCATCAAGACAGTGCTGCCCTCTATGGTGGAGCAGCGCAGCGGTCAGATCGTGTGCGTCAGTTCGGTCCAGGGACGCCTCGCGCTGCCCTACAGGTACAGAATGAGGCCCCTACAGGGGATCGCCATGCCCTACAGGTGCGGCGGCCGCCAGCCGGTGGGTTAATGCTGCATTTTCTAAGGCGTCAGAGACAGCCTTGCTTTGATGCGTTTGGCGAGGGATACATGTGCTTGTGAACATTTTGAGGTATTGGATGGTTTGCATTCGGCCGGAACAAAGTGCAGGTAGTGTCCACTGTGGTAAGATGTTTGGTTGTTTATTATCTAGGCCACAACATGCGTTACCTACGCACCAGCATTTTATTTTACCCGCAACGTTCAATGCACCATCTGCAGGTCTGTACTCACATGACATTTTTGTCTGTAGACCCTGTCAACCCCTGAAATTGACGAAGCCGCTGTCCGCTGCTGCTGTCCTCTCTTTAACAATGTACAGCAGCTGGGAGCCTGCCCCAGCCTGGTGGCGGCAGGGTGCTGAGTGTCTGGTACCTGATCTCCCCATCCTCCGCCCGGCGTCCGCTCCGGTCCGTCCCTGACGCTGCCTCCGTCCCTTACGCCGCCTCCGTCCCTGATGTCATCTCCGCCATCTCCGTCTCCGCGCCCCGCCAGTGACCGCGTGTCCCTCCGCCAGGTCGGCGTACGCCGCCTCCAAGCACGCGCTGCAGGCGTTCTGCGACTGTCTGCGCGCCGAGGTGGCCGACCACAACGTGCACGTGACGGTGGTGTCGCCTGGTTACATCCGCACCAGCCTGTCACTCAACGCGCTGACCGGCAGCGGCGCTGCCCACGGCAGTGAGTCAGCGGGCTGGGCACACCGGGCACGGCCGGGGCCGTCCGCCGGCCACCCGCTGCTGGATGATACGCGGTTCTCTTGGCATTGGGAGGGGCGGGAGTAGAGATGTAGTCTCGGATCCAGGTGTGTGGCGGTGGGCTAGATGATTCCAACTTTGGCAGGAAAGTGGACTTAATTTGATGGGAAGCCTGTCTTTGAGGTATTTTTGAGGCAGGTTTAAAGGGAGTGTTCCAAATTTGTGTGGGGTTTTGAACTGAGAGTCATTTTGAAGGCCTTTCGGTGCTATTCACAATCCTGCCTTTCTTAAGACCCAAGGCATTCTAGTCTCTGAGCTACACGCCCGCGAAATTGGGGAAAGGTACTGAGGTATATATAAAGGTAAAGTAAGGTATATAAAGGTATATAAGGAAAGGAAAGGGAGGGTATTTTAAAGCCACCCTGGCGCTCATGACGTCACAATAACGTCATCCAAATCCTGTCATTCCATTAACCATGCGGCGACCAAGGCTAAACAAAATATGGTGGTCAAGGCTTTCATATCTGGCGTTCGTGGGCGCGATTTCCAGACGTAACGGCTGTCAATTGGCTCTCATTCTCTCATTCAGTGTTATGCAAATTACGATGACATTATCAGACCACGAGGCATTGGGGAGCATATTTACTAAACGGAGAATTGTCCTGTCTAGAGCAAAGCCAGCTTGTGTCATTATATGCGATGCTTGCTTCAGTATGACTGAAATGGCTGATCAGCTCTGCGCGCGCCAGTGTTCGGTGCACTCCTTGAAAGAGATCCCGTGGCGCTGACTGGACACGTGGCCGCCCACGCAGAGCTGGACGCCACGACGGCAGCCGGCCTGGAGCCGGACGCGGCCGCGCGCCGCCTGGTGGCAGCGCTGGTGGCGCGCCGGCATGAGACGCTGCTGGCGCCGCTGCGCGACCGGCTGGCCGTGCTGCTGCGCGCTCTGCTGCCGTCCGTCTTCTTCCTGCTAATGCGGCTGCGAGCCCGGGCCGGCACCGGCAGACCCAGCTGATGACTGACAGACGGACCGGGCTCACCTGGCCTGTGTCGCTCAGTCCAGCAGGCGGCTACCGCGGGTCAGAACAGTCAGCAAGCGTTTACCCACTTCAGGGCGGTCAGGAGGCGGTTACCCCGGGTCAGGGCGGTCAGCAGGCGTTTACCCCGGGTCAGGGCGGTCAGGAGGCGGTTACCCCGGGTCAGGGCGGTCAGCAGGCGTTTACCCCGGGTCAGGGCGGTCAGGAGGCGTTTACCCCGGGTCAGGGCGGTCAGGAGGCGTTTACCCTGGGTCGGGGTGGTCAGGAGGCGTTTACCCCGGGTCAGGGCGGTCAGGAGGCGTTTACCCCGGGTCAGGCCGGTCAGGAGGCGTTTACCCCGGGTCAGGGCGGTCAGGAGGCGGTTTCCCCGGGTCAGGGCGGTCAGGAGGCGGTTTCCCCGGGTCAGGGCGGTCGGCAGGCGTTTACCCCGGGTCAGGCGGTCAGGAGGCGTTTACCCCGGGTCAGGGCGGTCGGCAGGCGTTTACCCCGGGTCAGGGCGGTCAGGAGGCGTTTACCTCGGGTCAGGGCGGTCAGGAGGCGTTTACCCTGGGTCGGGGTGGTCAGGAGGCGTTTACCCCGGGTCAGGGCGGTCAGGAGGCGTTTACCCCGGGTCAGGCCGGTCAGGAGGCGTTTACCCCGGGTCAGGGCGGTCAGGAGGCGGTTGCCCCGGGTCAGGGCGGTCAGGAGGCGGTTTCCCCGGGTCAGGGCGGTCGGCAGGCGTTTACCCCGGGTCAGGGCGGTCAGGAGGCGTTTACCCCGGGTCAGGGCGGTCGGCAGGCGTTTACCCCGGGTCAGGCCGGTCAGGAGGCGTTTACCCCGGGTCAGGGCGGTCAGGAGGCGTTTACCCGGGTCAGGGCGGTCAGCAGGCGTTTACCCCGGGTCAGGGCGGTCAGGAGGCGTTTTACCCCGGGTCAGGGCGGTCAGGAGGCGTTTACCTCGGGTCAGGGCGGTCAGGAGGCGTTTACCCCGGGTCAGGGCGGTCAGCAGGCGTTTACCTCGGGTCAGGGCGGTCAGCAGGATTTACATCAGGTCCGGCTGCTGATGGGCCCAGGTCCAGCTTAATGCTGGATTTCTGAAGTCGGCAAACCTTGGGGATGCAAAGTGGGATGCATACTGGTTCCATATTCTAGTCATGCGTACGTAGGGTGATGTGCTATGGACTGTGGGCAATGTGACGCTTCGGACCCACAGCTCAAATGGATAAGGTGGAACTCAGTTCGAGTACCGGATTCGTTGCCCACTCAGGCGATGAACGTCCTTGGGTTGCCTGGTAAATTGCAACCAAGTAACCGCCGCGCATAGTCCACAATGAGCACCGAATGCCGGACTTCAGCAGGCCCGTCCCCACATTAGCGGTCCCATGAGTACAGTCGCGTGCTGTTAATATTCGCTGGGAGTGTAATTGCCAGGGGCTCGCGCGTGGGATAGTCTCTAGTGAGCCTTCCTCGTGCTCATGTGTACGAGGACCTCACTCTCGCCAGTTTGCAACGTTCACTGCTGCTGCTGCTCCACCAGACTTGATTTATGTTGTTCGTTTGCTTATTTATTCAAGGTCGTCACTGGCTCCCCTCTCCCCGCTAATTCTCATCAGCCGGCTGGGCCCTGTACGGCACTGCGTTCCAGCTAGGGAGTTGATGCTCTGATGTCCGTCCGGCACCCATGTGCTCACCTTAGGTGGTTACGCATTGCGTTGTATGAGCTACTATTTTTTTTCTTCAGTTGGTTGGGCCGTAGCGATGGCGCAGGTATCTGCCGCGCAGCTGTTATGTTGTTTTGCCTCCGTACCTCACATGGAAATGCATATTTTCTTGAATAAATGTTTATCTCGCTTCCTTCGGCTAGCCTCCGCGCGTTCACCATGCGACGTGTTTCACATTCGAAGCGTGGTGCGGGCTAAGGTGTCGGAGCTGAAAAACGAGACCTCGCGCCATGGGCCTCCCTTACAGACGAGTAGCGGTGCATTTCGTGAGTGGCATCCTACGGACGTTGGCCAGACTTGAATCAGCATCCTACACGGCACGCCTGAAACGCAGGAAGTTGCAAGGACATGCGATGCATGCGAGAAGAAAACACGCCGAAACACACTGCAAACATACTGTCACCTGAAAACGTAAAGCAAGCTTCTGATGAGACTAAACACAACCCTGTACGTTACTACACACACAACCTGTTTGCCGGGCAGCTTACTCTGCTGGCGCCTCGCGTCGTACCCAATGGCACAAGTCACAAGCTCGGAATGTCAAGAGCAGTGGAAGGAAGCGAGACGCCTGCTGTACACGTGCCATAGGACACACTTCGCACATCCGGTCGCTCGTCCACTGCCGCCGACGACATAGGCGGAACCCCGACGGCACGGCGTCCGACTACGGGTCGCGCTACAACGTGCACGACCGCGACCGGCGCGGGGCAAACTCGGATCGCTACCCGACAAAGCGGAGAAATGCTAACATGACACGTGGCAGACGCGGAACATAACCGCACACAGATGAGAACAACGCAGAACAAACACGAGAGGGTTCGGAACGGTCACAAGTGGCACATTTGTACGAGCAACATAAGATGGAGCAGCCGAAGACGAAACACAAATACAAAATGACTGGAGGAGGAGCATGGACCGACGGTCCAGCCATACATTTGTAACGACTGTTGAAATAAGGCTTGCCGTAGCTTTAAGAGGCCGCGGAGCGAGCCGCTTTCGTAACTCAAGGTGCGTTCACCTACGGTCAAGGCGGCAAGTGCAGCACAAGAAGCCAAGTCAGCCCGACTGTCATAGCAAGCAGTTTGACCTGTCAATGACACCAAATCTACATTTCCCCGAGCCGCGGGGGACGTAACTCGACTTAGACGTATGACTACGTAACAGTTCAGACCCTGACTAATTCGACAATCACACCGGCATTTCCGCGTCGTCACACCCTCTTTCTGGCAGACTACAAGACGTCCCACGCTGCACGCACGACCGAGGGACGGCTCCGGGCCGAGCAACACCGGAGAACACTGAGGGGACAGCTGGCGGCACCCCCAGCAGGCTGACGAGCCGCCGAGCGCGGCCGAACGCCGGCTGGTGCGCTGGGAGGCGCCGCGCACCGCGGACGTCACAGCCCGGGCTGGCAGACGGCACCCGAGCGCGAGGGGTGCGGCACGGCGCGGCAGCTCCAGCCGGGTCGGCCAGTCCTGCTGCGTCCGCCGCCGTCCAGCCCGCGGGAAGTCTTGTTCACGGCAGACGCGTTGCAAACCGCCAAACCAACGGCACGCGCAATCCACGGCTCAACCGCAAGCCAAGTCCAGACGCACCGCCATCTAGTTTACGAACTGCTCTCTACACAGACTCCGGCGTCACGGTCACGCACGAGCTCCGAGCCGAGACCCCGGCATCATACGGAAGCACTCCCTCAGATTCACGTACGAGCTCTGCGCCGAGACCCTGGCGTCACACGGAGGCGCACACTCACAGTCACGCACGAGCTCCGCGCCGACACCGCGGTGTCACACGGAGGCGCACCTCCGCAGTCACGCACGAGCTCTGCGTCGAGACTCCGTCGTCACAGAGGGGCGCACCCTCAGCCACGCACGAGCTCTGCGCTGCGCTCACAGATCACAGGGCGACTGCGCGGCTGGCGGCGGTGGCGGCGGCGGCGGCGCGTTCTCCTTGCCGGCCGGCCAGCGGCGGCGGCTCCAGAGGGCGCGGGCCGCCGCCTGCAGGCTGGGCCGCCGGCTGACGGCCGCCGGCGTCACCGCGTAGCGCCGGTGCGGCGGCTCGAACCGACTGCGCAGCACCGAGAACTTGCGCCGCGGGCTGGCGGCGGCCGGCGGCGACACGGCCGCCAGAGGGCTGCGCTGCGGGCCCGGCTGCCTCTGGGCTTCAGGGTTGACTCGCCGCGGCTCGGAATCGACCCGTCGGTGGTCTTGTTTGACGTGGTGCAAGTCTACGTCTCGCTGAGGTCCGGACCGGACCAGCTGTGTCTCGCGCCACTCAGCGGGATCAAGAGGCGCCCCGTTTGTCGCCTCGCGGCGCGCCTGCGTCTGCGCAAGGGGTCGCCGCGACGCGCCCCTGCTGCCGGCGACAGCACGCCTGCCACCCGGCCGCGCGTAAATGGCCACTGGCGGCGAGCGCGGGGACTCGTAGTCTGCGGCGCCGCCGTCGGGTGGCGCCACCAGCACGGCTGGGTCCAGGCTGGTGTTGAGCCGCCGCCGGCCGCCGCCCTCGCCGCTCAGATCATCCGTCGAGCGCGACCGCCGCGACGCCTGGCGACGCGGCGGCGAACTGAACAGCGCCGACACGCCCGAGCGCTCGACGGCGTCGATCGTGGCCACGAGCAGGCTGGAGTCGCGCGTCGGCCCAGCCGCCTGGGGGCTCGCCTCGGGCACGGGCGGCGCCGGCGGCGCGTCCTCCAGGTGCGCGATCATCAGCGCCACGTTGTCGGTGTTCTCGTACGTGTGACGGCCGCCGGCCGGGCCCTCCTGGTCGGCCGGCTCCGTCGCCGAGTCGTCCAGGCGGCCGGCGCGCTCGGTGACGACGCTGTAGTTGTGCGCGCTGTCGCCCACGTCCGAGTAGGCGCGCCAGGCACGCACGCCCAGGTCTGCCCGGTGCACGTTGACGGCGATGACGTTCTCGTAGTCGGGCGGCGGCGCCGAGGTGGCCGACGTCATGCGGCTGTGGTTGGCGCAGGTGGAGTCGCCGTCGACGGCCGGCGCCGGCCGGCCCGGCGACAGCGTCACGTCACCTTCCGACACGGCGTCCAGCTGCGGGATGTCGGAGGCTCGCGGCTCCGACGCTGCGGCGCGGGACACGCGCGGTCACCCGGGGCCGGCATGGGCCGTGTCAGCTCACTTGTCATCGACAGCCGCACCGACTCACTAGCTCAGCTGTCAGGTCAACAAGACCTACCCAGGGGCTGCTCCATCACGGGTCACGTGACCCCACCAGAGGTGCAATGCGCTCATCACGGAGTAGAACAAATCATGCTTTAAGAGTGTAAGGGTCTGGACAGCGACCCAACTGCCAGATTATTGAGAGGTGGCATGGAATTACATGAAGGCCCCAATGATCATGTTCCTGTACGCGGATCCAGGAATACAAATGCAATGAAATCAACGAGTTCATGGTCAATAAACGAAAAACCCAACGCTGCGTAGTCCGCATCTTCCCCTCCAGCAATGTCCTCCCAAGCCTCTCCCCATGCGCGGCGTACCTGCGCTCGCCTCTGGCTCGTGGGCGACCGTCTGCAAAATGGCCGCCGCCGATTGGTGGCGGCGCTCAGCGGCGGCCCCGTGACCGCGCCCGGCTGGGAGGCTGGCGGCCGAGCGGGTCACGTGACCGGCGGCGGCAGCGGCGGCGGCAGCGTTCAGCAGCTCGGAGGCCGAGTGGAAGGGCTTGTCACGCGGGACCGCTGCCGCCTCCGGCTGCGGGAGTGATGTCACAGCAGCCGGCGATGACGTCACAGGGTCGGGTTGTGACGCCAGAGAGACGCCGCCGGCCGAGCGGAGGCTGCCGGGAGATGGGACAGAGTCAGGCCATACCCGGAGTGCGACCTAGCGCCGGGCCGATAACCACAGGCAAGCACCGCTCAGTTACCTGAACAGATTTACTGTTCATCACCGCCCGAAGACGTATCCGTCAGTCCCCAATTCACCTGGGACTGCGCGTAACGTGACCTACACTGTTCTGCCGCACGCATTCGTTCTGCCTTCCACGCTACGGTTCACTGAATGATTCAATGAAATGTGATGACCGCATAACGAAAAAACCGCCTTCGGTCCACTCTTCAGTGAAAGGGGAGGGATCAATGTGCTAGAAAAGTCACACAGCAGCTGCGCACAGTAGTTCAGTGGCCGGGCCAGCAGGTCAGAGGCCAGGCCAGCAGTTCCGCGGCCAGGCATGGACGGCCGGGCCAACAGTTCGGCGGCCGATGCTGGGCCCCCGGCTGGCTGCCGTACCTGGTGAGCGAGATGCGCGGGGCTGGCCGGCACTTGAGCGAGCGGAGCGTGCCTCCGTCGCCGGGCGGCGGCTGCGGTGCGTCGGGTCCCGCCCGGCGCCGCCTCCGGGTCCGGCCGGCCTCCGCCGCCGCAGCCGCCCGCGTTCGGGTGAAACAGCCGGTAGTAGAGCAGCATGACGGCGGAGCCTGCGGCGAACGACGCCGCGTGACGGCATTGACTCCTGCGTTTGGTAGCTACACTGGTAAACGATCCTGCCCGCCCATTTAGCGCCGACGCGACTGACGCCGGGCTGGGCCGTGACAGACTCGAATGTGTCGCGCTCCGGTTCTCAGCACTCTACCACACAGCTTGCGGTGGAGTGCGGAGGCCATGTCGATGGCTGTAGGGCCACCCACATGGCCACTGGCGGACATCAGGCATCGGGATACTAATACGGACATCAGAGGCAGAAGAACAGAAGAGCCGCCACCAGACAACGGAGCCGACGTGGTGGCTGCAAGTCGGGGACCAGCACCAGGCATGGCCCTTCATCAGACATCGCCAACCGGACACGCCCCTTCCCCGCTGGCTGATGTGCGGGGCGGCCTCTCTACACAGGCTGCTCATGATTACATGGCATGACTGCACAGCCGTGGTCATTTTGACGGCCGCGAGGCTCGCTCCCGCGCTCCATAACTGGCCGTGCGACCCGCTCCCGCGCCCCACAACTGACCGCGAGGCCCGCTCCCGCGCCCCATAGCTGGCCACGAGGCCCGCTCCCGCGCCCCATAGCTGGCCGCACGGTCCGCTCCCGCGCCCCATAGCTGGCCACGAGGCCCGCTCCCGCGCCCCATAGCTGGCCGCACGGTCCGCTCCCGTGCCCCATAGCTGGCCACGAGGCTCGCTCCCGCGCCCCATAACTGGCCACGAGGTCCGCTCCCGCGCCCGACGGCGAGCCGCTGGTGAGCGCGCCGCGGCCTCGTCGGCTTGTGAAAGGACGGCCGTCTCTGTCCAGCGCCACGGGCCGCGCCAGTCAGGGCAAGGCGGTGCCATCAGTCACACCGCGCCAGTTAACAGTGGGCACGCACCGCATCCACCACGGCGACCGGCTGGCCGCCCGGGCAGCAGCGACCGTGGCGTGAGGGCTGGGACAACACAGACCGAACCTGCACAGCAACCTCGCACGGACTGCAGCCACACGCAGCCGGCCACGGACGTACCCAGGACGGTGCCGGCGGGGATGTTCACCAGCAGCGCCAAGTACAGCCAGTCGCCGGGGCGCGGCCAGTAGAAGAAGAAGAGCATCGCCAGGACGCCGTTCTCGGCGAACGTCAGCGCGTAGAAGGCAAGCATGCGCCAGCGGGCCGGCGTCTCCTGGCGGCGGGCGGCGGAACCATCAGACGCTCCGGCAGAGCGCACTCGGAGCGGGTGTCGGCTCGACGGGCGTGCTGCGACGGAACGCACTGCCGCGCCGCCGTGTGGTGAGGACGCCTAGCGCGGCTCGTCACGCAGCTGACTGACGTCATCAGCAGCGGGCACACGGCTGATGCAGGTACAGATCCACCGCAAGGGAGTGCATCATCCACGGGGAGTGCGCATGAAACACAGCGGAAACAGATCAGCTTGGAGCACATCAACGCAGCACTCACATACGCGCCGTCCACTATGAGCCACCGACAGTGAATGAGAAAGGGGCCTGCTCCCCGGAGATCGCCCAAAAATAATCATCTGATACTACGTAGGACGAACTTAAATTAGCTGTACATTCACTTGTGTATGTCATGCTAAGCGACCTAAGGACTACAAAGTTCTCAAGCTTTTTGGTCTCCAAATTCACTGTTACTAATTTCGGCAAAACAAACCGCAACATCGAGACAAAACACGACCAAATCAAGACGCGGCTAGATCAGTCACCACGTCCACGGCGTGTGAAGCGTCTTCCATGGTTACCGAGCATGGCTACCGGCCCCTGGTCTGTTCGCCAGCGGTCCGCAGTGTGGGAGCGTCGTGCCGGACCCAATCCGAGCGACGCCACCGGCAGACTCGACTCCGGGCCACCGGCCGTCCACCGCCAACCCTGGCTTCGGCTCACCCGCTGGGAAACGGAGTGGCATGCGGCTCGTTCTGGTGAGCAGGAAGCACGTGCCAAGCGTTAGCCGGTGCCACGGGGCGCGAGGCCGCAGTCTGCCCATGCTTAGGGTGGCTCACATGATGAGAAGACGCAGGCCAATCACCAGACCGCAGACACGACCGCCGGACACCGGCCATCGAGGCAGCCAGCGGCGAGCATCGCTGCTGCACTCACTCCCCTATCGAGGTGCCACGTTCGGGGCGGGGCATGCGCATGTGACGTGGCTGCCGCGCAGGCACGGCTCTCCGAAACACTAGCCTAAAGAGGAGGGTCGTTTTTTACGTGCAACATTCTGCAGTGACCAGGTGTCGGCGCGCATGCAAAACGGGTTATATCAACGTTAGAAAAGTTGACAGCCGACAAGACCGCATCGACACAACTGCATGCATTCATCATGTCGACGTCCGATCATGCCACCCCATCCCCTGCCATTCCCACCCACCCCATCAGCACCCCACGGAGCGCAGACCCACCACCTCTCCGCACAGCACCCATCCGCCCACCTTGACGTTGAAGAAGGAGAAGCAGTAGATGGCGCCGACGACGGTGTTGAAGAGTCGCTCCTCGGCGGGCGTGGGGAAGAGGTCGGTGCGCTGGGCCAGCACCCAGCCGGTCATCAGCAGCCAGCGGACGGCCAGCAGCAGCAGCACCCAGCCGGAGTACAGCAGCGAGAACGCCAGCAGAGCGGACGTGCGCGCCAGCAGGAGACACAGGCGCCAGAGCAGCTGCCGGAGGCGCGGCGGGACGGCGGCGTGAGGCAGACGACGCCGCTGAGCCGGCGGGAGGCGGGAGCGGGCGCTCAGCAGCCACCTCGGCCGCCACACCGAGTGCCGGCAACACGGCCGGCGAGCCGTTGTGACGGGCACGCCCAACACGACATAACAGAGATGACAACGGTTCAGTGTGGCCGGGCGTTCTAACACGCGCTTGGTCGACAGCGCCAATCAGTCCATCACTGCACAGAAGCAAATCCCGCTCGTGATATGGTCTGACACGCAGCACGCCACTGGGGCACCGAATCAAGGCGACCGCCGCTCACCCAGGGCGGCTGAGGGCCCACGTACCTGCAAGGTGGCAGACGGCCTCATACTGAGCGGCCCACGTACCTGCAGGGCAGGCGGCCTCATACTGAGCGGCCCACCCTGCAGGGTGGCAGACGGCATCATACTGAGCGGCCCACACCTGCAGGGTGGCAGGCGGCCTCATACTGAGCGGCCCACATACCTGCAGGGTGGCAGACGGCATCATGCTTGGTGGCCCACAAACCTGCAGGGTGGCAGGCGGCCTCATACTGAGCGGCCCACGTACCTGCAGGGTGGCAGACGGCCTCATACTGAGCGGCCCACGTACCTGCAGGGTGGCAGACGGCCTCATATGAGCGGCCCACGTACCTGCAGGGTGGCAGGACGGCCTCATACTGAGCGGCCCACGTACCTGCAGGGTGGCAGACGGCCCATACTGAGCGGCCCACGTACCTGCAGGGTGGCAGACGGCCCATACTGAGCGGCCCACGTACCTGCAGGGTGGCAGACGGCATCATATGAGCGGCCACGTACCTGCAGGGTGGCAGACGCCCATACTGAGCGGCCCACGTACCTGCAGGGTGGCAGACGGCCTCATACTGAGCGGCCCACGTACCTGCAGGGTGGCAGGCGGCCTCATGCTGAGCGGCCCACGTACCTGCAGGGTGGCAGGCGGCCTCATGCTGAGCGGCCCTACCTGCAGGGTGGCAGCCGTCCAGCCCAGCGGCCGCTTGTCGCCCCGGGACTTGCGCATCCACTTGGCGTACGAGGCGTTGCTCCAGGCCAGCGAGAGGAGCGAGAGCGCCGCGCTGACAGCTGAAACGCGGCACCGGCGCCGTTGGTGGACGCGGAGACACGCACACCCGCGGGTCACGTACCGTGTGCGTGTCTGCGGCTGCCTGGCAGGCGTGCCTGTGTCATACTATCTCTGACAGTGCAGCTCGGGTGAGTTACAGGGAGAGCCTGTTTACGGTGTCGAGTCTTGTTGAGGATAACAGCACAGATGTCACCGGCGCAAACCGTGTATTCCGTACACATTTCACTGGCTTAGCATAAAAGACGGCGGGGATTGGCTGAAATCACGCCATAGCCAGGCAGTTACGGGAATCGATAAACAGTCTGGCATTCTGTCGCATGCCATTTAGAGGTGCCTGCAGCTCCCGCTCGAGACGCAAATCAAGGTCGTAACAATCAAAGTCGACGTCCTCCTTACTTTAGCATACGTCTCAGCTTCCATTGTATTTGAACGCGCGGAAATCTGTATCCAAGCAATCAATACGTGCGTGTGTCTAACTGGGACGAGAAAGATCAGCAGCTAGATTGGACCAGTCGTTGTCACAGAGGACGATGCTATCGCAGGAAAGCGCCGCACGCCGCACCCCAGTCAGGAAAACAGAGCACCGGCGGGAACTAGGACACACACGGTGTGATGCATTTTCCTGCTTGCGGTTAGCCACTCACACTTCTGAGGTCCCCGCTGACCCAGCCCGAGGCCGCCAATCCCGGATGAAGTAACGAGGAGGCTGGGCCCTGACCAACTGAACCAGAGCCAGCGTCCTGAATTTGGACGAGGTGCGACCGAGCAGTTGTCCCTGGCTTGCGAACTGCTCACATCACTAACTGCCTGACTATGAGATACCCGTCCCTAGAAAGGGCGACGGTGTTGACCAGGGTCTTCTTTGACAGTGCACCAGCCGCCTCCGTTCCTGACGAGTGGGCGACGGCCCTGAGGATGGTAAAGTTGAAGGGACACCAGCCGCATCCTTTCAGGACGAGGAAGAGACGGTTGACGCATGGTCCATGTTTGACAGGACCACCAGCCGCCTCTGTCCCTGGACGAGGGGTGACGACTGAGTGAGGTCCCTGTTTGATAATGCACCAGCCGCCCCGTAGCTGGACGAGGGACGACGGCTGAGCAGGGTCCCCTGTTTGACACTGCACCAGCCGCTTTCGTCCCTGAACGAGGGGCCACGGCTGAGTGAGGCCCCTGTTCCACAATGCACCGTCCGCCTTCGTCCCTGGACGATGGACGACGGAGTGGTATCCCCGACTGACCCTGCACCAGCTGCCAGCCGTCCCTGGACGAGGTGACGTAGACCTGCAGTAGCAACTGCGGCGCCGACTCCAGGTAGCTGAGGAACAGCTGCAGCATGCTGACGTCACTGCTCTGCTGCAGGTACACCTGCCGCACGTAATGACGTCACATCAGCTGATGCCGAACGCGAGCGTGGGACAACTGAAAAGCATGACAATAAACGAGAGCAGGCAATGAGTTTACATGGTGCAAATGCTGCTGTGTGCATGCAATGTTTGAATAATACTTAAAACACATACTCAACTTTGAAGGGTTGTTGCAAATGCATATATACTGTGAAAATTTATGCCAAGTTACATGCCACAAACTCTGAGTACATGAGCACAGCGCATACAGCGAGTTACATACATGACACCCTGTAATGAGAGCCTCTGCACATGTCCTGACCACGGCTCAGCGTCAGGTCGGGAGCGGACCGTTACCGAGCAGCCCACCTGCACCAGGGGGTCCACACCTCCTCACCATTGAATCGTCGTAGGACTTTGTACGGCGCATACGCCGACCATCGGAAAACTGACTCACAAGCCTGAAGACGGTGAAGGTTAGTTAGAGGATACATCACATGCGACGTAAGCACGCACCAGTGCAAGGCAGTCGCAACAGGTGGCGAGACTGCTGGTTAGCATAATGGACATGTCCCAGTATGAAAGTATAGTCACACTAAATAAAAATGGAGATACTTTTGGGAATGAATGTTTCATTCATTTAGTTCTGCCCTGTGAGATTACAACCCCAGGATTAGCAAACTACAGCCTAATCAGCTGCATTCGTAGCCATCGCGGGAGGTTACTAAAGACTTCTGGGCCCAGTGAGCATCCAGACTTTTCTCCAGAATAAGGCAACACAATGGCCTCAGATCTCACAACAGCTGACCACGACAATGAGGAGAACCACTCATCCGGGACACAGACCTAAGAAGAGGCCCAGCTGGCAGCAGTGTGCACGACCAGCAGGCTGGTGGTGGCCTCCTGTCGTGCACGTGCCAGCGGTACGAGATGACGTGCACCAGCGCCTGGGGCACCACCACGATCAGCACAGTCAGCAGGCCCCAGGTCAGGTCGCCCGAGCTCAGGTACGTGTGGATCAGCACCACGTCTGCGGCGAAAGCGGGCACCAGTCAGCGGCCGCGCCGAGCAGCTGCGGCACAGCTGGCAAGGAGGGCAGTCGAGACATTGTCAGAGACCGAGCAGCTGCAGCACAGCTGGCAAGGAGGGCAGTTGGGACATTGTCAGACCGAGCAGCTGCGGCACAGCTGGCAAGGAGGGCAGTCGGGACATTGTCAGAATGAGCCATCAATGGTCATGGTGAAAGACAGGCGCAGCAAGCAGCAGTGAAACATTTCTGCAAGAAATAAGCCAAAATATATGCAGGTGGACGAGTCTGAAGAGTTGGTGCTTGCTGACAGAATGTACCTGAAAGCATGAAAATTCGAAGCGGAAATGAAGTAGAATGAACCTATGGAGCTGAATCACGAAGAAAATGAGCCTTTCACCTTTAGTACACAAATGCTCATCATAACTTTTCAGGGATGGCAGGACCAAAATTTGAATCATATGCCAGATATTGTTTCTCAGAGCAATGGCTAGAGTTAATATCAATGGCATCAAACTTAAGAGGTGGGAGTTCTTTTACTAGGGGTGGGGTTGGGCGAGTTGTGGTAGTAATGTTGCAACAAAATTTGTGACCTTTGTCACTATTTTGATGTGCAATTTTGTCTCACATAAGGAACAAAGTTACCACTTTCGTAAGATCAGAGCCATTTGAGAAAGAGGCAGAAAGCTGATGGCAAGCAACTGTTTCTGACCATATCTGAAGTCCATCACCCCAGTTGTTCTTCCCAACTTTACCTGATAAACTTTCCAGTCAATCTATTTTTTTATGGCCAAATGGGAGTGAGGAGAAGCCAATTCATTGAGCCATATAATGATGCAGCCTGGATGCCCCAAGTGAGGCAAATATTTTGACCAGCTGTTAGCTGACCTGATGATGATGATGAGGGCAAGGAGTGTGGCATTTTAGATCTTGAAACCTGTAATGCTAGTTGCCGCAGGGTATGTATCTGCCCCAAATCATGAACAGAACAAAATACAGGGAAGACCTGCACCTGCATGCCGGATTGCATTGCATATGCATGACACTCTCAAGATATTCAGCATACCAGCCACACAGTAAAAATTCACTCTCATGTACCTTGTGAATCTGAGTGGTTTGTGTCATACCATAGCAACCAATGTCAGCATGTAGAGATTACATGTTTCAGGGCACACATAAATAATCCCCAGAAATTAAAGCGAAATGACTTTCAAAATTCCTGCACAATTTGGTCGGACTTGAGTTTGGCACACAAAAGCACAACAACACACTGCTTCACCACACCAGTGTCACATAGGCATCCAGTGTGGTGCATGGATGTTTCACAGACTGGTATGCATGTGCCTACATGCTGTTGTTTGTTGGATGTTATATCACACTACAAGCATAAATGGCATCAAGATGCCTAGGCTATCTTTGGGATTCTTAAAACAAAAAACATCAGATACACTTACCAATTATCTTATTGAAAATGTATGCCCCTATTGAAAGAATAAGAAATGCTTGATCCCAGTTATTAAAGGTGACTTGTGGTCTTTTGTCTTCCTCCTCACGTTGCTTCTTTTTGTCCACAATTTCCATGTCATTAAATTCACTTCAATTTCATACACCGGTGCCTTTTCATCGCCACTTAATCCACAAACGCGCAACCGCGCTAAAGCTCTATTCTATGCCACTGTAACTTTTGTTGTCAGAATCCACGCACAAAACCACCGCACTCACGACCCTTATCATAAAGGCGTCCACCTTATCCAGGACACAAGGCACAGAATTTTGCAGAAAACTGCAGCCCTCGCAAAAAACGGTGACCACAATTCCTATGGTTCTTCGCGAATAGTTTGCAACCAAACGAAGTGCGTCACCAATGCCGAAATATTTGAGCTATGCGCCGTTTTCCCTGCTTCTTCTTTGTAAGGGCTACCCCAAGAGGAGCGTAGCGGTTTTCGTTGGACGACTCAACGCCCTCACTGCGCCAGCCTGGGGCCGGAGCAACGCCGTTGGCACGACTCGTGTCCAACTCCAGCTGAGTAAAGCAAGCACTGACTAACTCACGGCAGGCAGAGTTGAATCCTGCTCTGATTTTACTCCGAGTTTTAGAGACTCGTACTGCGAGCATACTCTACTCCCTCACCTGACCCCGGCCCGTCCAGGAATACATAGTCTATGATTGCAGCCCAAGAAACTACACCAACCGCCTCAAGAAAATTTGGCCAATTGCATGGCGTATTCAGAGGGATTTGATTCAAATCGTCCATTGGCATTGATGTAGAACAATGGCTACCAGTTGGATCCCTGCAGAAGTCTACGGTGACCACTCCGGCACTTCAGGGTATACACCTTACCTTACCTTACCTTATGGTGATCGGGAATTGTAAAAGACCACTAGGCCTGTAGGTCCCGGTCTCGTCAGGTTCCCAGTCCGGTAACCAAACAGTCTCAAATTATGAGAAGATTCAGTGTGGGACGTCGTACATGATGTCAGCCAGTGCGTATCAAGCCTAGACTTAAACTTCAACGAAGGTCGACGACACGACTGGGTGTGGGAGATTGTTCCAGTCGTTGACAACCCGAGTGCTGAATGAGTTACGACGGACGAGAGTCATAGCTCGAGGTTTTCTGAGCCTCCACTGGTGTCCTCTCGTCACCTTTAAGTTGTGCCTTGTCAGGAACTCCTCTTCCGACAGCGACATACCCCCGTGAAATAGCTGGTACACTGTTACCATGTCTCCCCTACGACGGTGATAGTACAGCGAGGGCAACTGAAGGAGTCTGAGCCCCTCAGGGTATGGCTGGCGCCTCACTTCATAGACGAGCGGGGTAGCTCGTCGCTGAACCCGTTCCAGCCGCTTTGGTCCAGTTTGCCGAACGGGCCCCAGACAACGTTGCCATACGTTGATCTTAGTACGGACGTACTAAGATCTTAAAAAACAATGGCTAACGTGCGAGCATCGATATTGGCAAAAGACCAGCCTCACGACCGCCAGCATCCTGGTTGGCCTTGTAGATCGCTTCCGCCGTCTGCTCGTGGAACTGGAGCCGGTAATCCACGAAGATCCCGAGGTCCTTCTCGGCGGACTCGACCGCGATTTCGGCGCCTCCAAGAAGTACGTCAGCCTCGGGCTGCAGTTCCCGATGTGCATTATTTTGCACTTTGCTGCACTAAAGGGGAGCAGCCACTCCTTGACCACTTGGCCAGGGCGTCGAGGTCAGCTTGCAAGGGTGAGTTGGTCAGGGGCCTCGGGACACGACAGTAGACCTTGGTGTCATCCGCAAACATCTTGACCACGCTTCGCGCTTGTTCTGACAGATCGTTCACGAAAATTATGAACAGCGTTGGTCCAAGTACTGACCCTTGCGGGATGCCGCTGACGAAGTTGGTCCGGTCCGACTTCGAGCCCTGGACCCGCACTCTCTGCATCTGGTGAGTAAGAAAAGCCCTGATCCAGCGTAGCAACTTACCTCTCACACCGTAAGCATGAAGCTTGGAGAGCAGACGGTTATGGGGTAATAACACGCACCGTTGATTGTCGCGTCGTCGCGGCCATAGATGTAAATTGTAATTGAGTTGTCTCTACCCCGACTCTGTAGTGAAAGTTGATTCAGCTGTAGTTCGAAAACGTTTCCAACGGAGTCAACCCCACCTTGACACAAGCAAATTTCGCCTGACCCCGGGTCAGCCGTGAACCAGAGGTGGACACAGGTTTGGTTGGTACCTAACATGTCAAAGGTGATCTCTCGTAATAAAAAACAGGGGCCCTTCCGAAACGACACGCGGCAAGTGCATCAGGTACGCGAGTGAACAGGCGGCTGCTGCAGACGTTGAACCTGTGCCGTCCAATCTTCTTCATCAACGCTGGGTGTGTTGGCTCCCAAATAAACCGGGAGACAAAACCAAACAGTCCGTACATTTGGCCAGCCATGAACGCATTAGGACACGCCCTCTTAAGGACGACGCCGGAATGAGGCGCTAAAGAGGGCAGTCCAACGTTTCTAAGAACGCGGAACGGGAAACGACCGATTAATTTACAGGACAATTCACTAGCACAGAAGGGGTGCTGCCGTACCGGAGGGAAAAGGAGGCAAGGCTCCATGCAATTGTCCGTTGCCCCCCCCCCCCCCGACCCCTAAGCGCGTCCGCCTACTTAGGCGTCAGCCTGGCGAACACAGATGGCGCGGTCAGGCACAGCAGGATAACCATACATAACCATTTATTTGTCACTAGACACAGAAGGGGTGCTGCCGTACCGGAGGGAAAGAGGCAAGGCTCCAGGGCAATTGTCCGTTGCCCCCCCCCCCCCCCCACCCCTAACGCGTCCGCCTACTTAGGCCGTCAGCGTCAAAACGCCTGGCGAACACACGCGGCGCGGTCAGACGTAGCAGGATAACCATATCATGTAACCATTTATTTGTCAGTCACGATGCTCAGTCTTCATTTCAACAGACTATTGCCATCAGGGACTGGAGACGTCACAGGAACCACCGATTATATTTCCGTGGCGCCATCTGTGGATGACATCACGAGGTAGAGCTTCCGACTCATTTCCTTGCCGACACGACGGGAGCTGACGAGGGGGCCGACCGTCCTCCGAATGGGCAGGTCAGCCACCAGGGCCTGGCGCTCTTGTTCAGACAGACACGCTGCATAGGCCTGAAGCAGCATGACAAGCATCAAGTGCAGCTTCCCTAACACCTTACCTGGCTTGCAGACCTCTGGCAAGTTCGGTTTACAAGCTTTACAATGACATTTGATTGATTTGAAGAAAACGGTGGGTAAGCTTGGGCTTCCATGTGCCTAGTATGTAATGCTCGAAGTCGGCCTGACCTTAATGAACTGGTGCTGCACACTTGCGTCTGTCTTAAGTGCAGCCAAGTAACAAGAAATAGTGCATGACTCCAGATGGGACTACTGCATCACTGAGGCGACTATTGCCTTCAGACTGCTTTACCACGCGACAACAGATCAGTGGCAGAGTATTCGAGCGCGCATCAATGCACAGCCATGTGCCGCAGTAAGGTCACGGCAACGTAGCCATCCGCGAGCGTCTGATGCCCTGCCGGCCAGCGGCGGCCGTCCTCGGCCATCTGTACCTTGATCAGCGCCTGCGGGCTGGGGTAGACGTCAGCCACGGCCTGGGCGGCCTCGAGCGAGCCGCCGGGCAGCTGGCGCAGCTGCTCCGCCCAGAGCCGGCGCAGGCCGCGCTGCTCGCGGTCCACCTTCACCGGGCGCGCCGAGTCGGCCTCGGCGAACCACGAGAACTGCGGCTCGGCGCGGCGCCGTCTGCCGGCGCAGATCAGGCGGCACGCGTCATCATCGGACGCCCCCCCCCCCCCTCACTGAGCGACGCTGGCCGACGCCGCGGACGAGGCCCAGCCGCGTAAGAACACACCAGGCTGGTACAAGTCATCCCGAGGGCTGTTTTCGAACAACAAAAAGCTTAGTTGTGGGACTGTGAAATTTCATTTTTCTTATTTTCATTCACAGTTTTAGCGACACACAACCACATACGCTCGAATATTTAACGATATGAATGACGTATGAACCACTTGCACAAGAACTGAAATGTAAGACGATTCAGCTTTTAAAATACAGCACATTGCTCCATATTTGCCTGCTGACGTCAATTCGTCTCTTACTTGAATGGTGCCTCCGCGATGGCTTTGGACATTTGAGCCAGAAACTCTCCGCCGTCTGTTGGTGAATTGACGAATCTGAAGTTGTGCGGGGTGTCCAACAGGGTGTCAACGAGAACGGCTTCCATTTGCAGCCGGTCCAAATTGGGAGCTCCTTTTCTGCGGTTCCCTCCACCATTTCGCACCGCCTCGCCCTTCTTGTAGCTACCCGCCATTGGCTTTGTCCTGAAAACAACACTGTTTTGGAACGGGCTCGGAGTAGATATCCATTGTATTTGCCGGAGTTGGCAACATCTCAGGCTACCCAAGAACCTGGATAAGCTGGGACTGTAATCCCAAAAGCCATCCCTGCAAAATACCACAACCAATTATACCTAGCAACACACACGTCAGGTGATTAGCACCCGCCTGCGGAGTTTGTCCAGACCCCAGCACAGCACCGTCACCACACGTCAGGTGATCAGCACTCGCCTGCGGAGTTTGTCCAGACCCCAGCACAGCGCCGTCACCGTCTTGCCCGAGCTCGAACCCAGACCTCGCACGGCGGCCGTGAGACCGCGCGACGGGTCCGCCGTCTGCTCTTCGATCAAAGAAGCCATGGCTTCGGCGGCGTACACGGCAACGATCTGGTCTTCCGGTTCGCGAGTCGTTCTGGAAATTATCTGAAACAGCGCAGCGACGCTGGTCACGAGTCTTGAGCACAAGCTTCGACATAACACTTTGGCGGATCTTACTTTACCGCGTGCGTTCAACGTACTTGCGTGACTGATTTCGTTTATTTTACCCTCAGTCAAACTAAGCCTACGTAATCATATCAAGACATACCGATAACGCAGCGTTAGTGGTGATAGAGTATTTCTGTTTGATCCTCAGCTTATGGCGTACAATATGGAATGCAAAAAGGAATTATTGAGTTGAAAGGACTTAAGTGAGTTACGTGCAAATTACAACATGGCCAAAAAGCCAACTCAAATGGCCCAAGCCAAAGCCGCCCTCTTCGGCCGACATCAAAGCCACAGCTGCAGTCTGACCTCGCCGTCGACCTCGCGCCAGCTGGTGACGTCACGCTCCCAGGTGATTGTGCCGGGCTGCGGCCGGGCGGTCACGTGGACCACAACATCAGTGGTCTGCAGGGCGGCTAACACCTGGCCGCCACCCTCCAGCTCGAGCAGGTGCGGGTCCACCAGCACGTGCAGCGACTGAGAAAACGCTCGGGTGAGGTGCGTGCTACACCTGAGATGCGTCAGAATACGGTCTTTAGACGCTCAGAGGGTGGTGGAGACATACAACCGAATTGCATCCCTTGGTGACGTTAATAGTGGAATCATCTACAATTTCAATTTGGCTTTGCTTAAATCCAATAAGATCCTTTCCGGCTGCCACGTGGGCTGAACCATTCCGCCTGTGCAATGTCTCCGTGCTTACGCCTCAAATCTGGCGCGCGCCTTGAACAGCTGCCCCACGTTCACCTTTTGACAGTGTTCGGGCCGAACGCTGCGCTTCGCGGCCGCCTCCGCCTGTCGAAGCCGTTTCTCCAGCTCCTTTTGGCGCTTGGCCTCCTGCCGCTGTAGCTGGCGCTGACGCTTGGCCTCAGCAGCGGGCTGGGGGTCCCGGCCAGCGGCGGCCGAGGCGGGCCGCGATCGCCCCGGCGGCGGCGGTGCCGACGGTGGCGGAGAATGCAGGGGGTGTGTCGGCGCAGGCTGGGAGGATGCTGAAGAGTGCTGGGAGTGTGGCAGGTGGTGTGGTGGATAGTCCTGTGGATGGAGTGGAGAAAGTTTGTGCTGTTGCAATGAGTGTTGGGAGTGTGGCCGAGTATGTTGCAGGAGTGGCGGGGAGAGGTGGGAGTGTAGTGGCGAGTCATCCAGCTGCGCAGGTGGTGTCTGGTGAGAGCTGAATGCACTCTGGTGTGCCTCCTTGCTTCTGAAGGATGATGGCTGTGGGGATAGTGCCGGGATATTTACTGATGATTCACGCAGACAGCTCAGGATTACTGGTGAATCCAGTTACTTTTAGCAGGAAGCGATTTGTTGGCCTGATGTATATCATGCACTATTCAACACCTGACTTACAATACTGAACAATTTGTTAAGCAAATGCAGCATGACTAAAACATCACCATATGCAAACGAATTGCCTGCTAGAAAAATTATGTTTGAATGTGAGGTTAAATTTGGCATCAATAGTATGAATTCCATAAAGGCATGATAAAACAGCATGCAAGAAAACTGAGCTCCAGAATGCTATTATGGTGTGCTTCAAAAACAGTGATTGGGAATGTAGGAAAGCCAAAAATGTATGTGTATTGCAAAACAAGAAGTTGCATCAAAATCCTAAACATCCAGTGATTCTGTAGCATACTGACCTGTCTGTGACTAGCCTCACTCTCATCCTCTGAAGAAGATTCTATGCTGATTGGGTCTGCACAACTGCTACCAGTAGAACCTTTTGATGCTTGCAATCGAGCATACAGTGGAACATACTGCCTGTTGAAGAACATGTGCTCTATGTGGATTAAAATCTTAATGGAGCTGGGCGTGAAGTAATGTGCTAAACATTGCTGATGCACCAAAGGAAAATACATAAGAATTATCCAAATGATGCATGAATTTTTTACATCTTGGAGCTTTGCATTGCTGCCATGCAGGGTGCCATGGTGAGGATTGAGGCATCTGGGTCACCAGACAGTAATTTTTCTAGAACAACTTATATGTAGGTATGGCACTCTCCTGACCCATTTATTTTTGCTAAAGATCACTTTAAAATACAATTACTCAATGTGTAGGCCAGGGCAAAGGAAATTTATTTCTTTGCACACACACATTTTGTTAAAACAGCACTGTGTTCACCAGTAACATCTTAATGACAAATTGAGCTTTTGGTACGTCGTCAATCAAGTGCTTACCCATCTGAGTCATCAGAGTCTGACATCGCGTGAGCTTTGCATTCCATTTACACGGCTAACTTCTATACTTCAAGTCACAAACACGACCTAACGCGTTCGTTTTTCTTGGTTTACGCTAACAAGTACTGTAAATGTACCCAACGCACTGAACCGCATTCCTCGTCCTGTGCTCGGCTTCGATTTGCCCGCCAAAGATGTTTTTATAGGCCAAGTACGAAACAGTTGCGTCGTGAACAGTTGTAAGTGGCTCTACCATATCTGATATTTTTAGGACAAAGGGTTTCGGATGAGTATTTAAAGCACACCCTCAGAAATCCATAACAAAAACATATTTTTGAGACGTAATTTTGTCCTTTATTTCATGAATGTTCAAGTCATCTTTAATTTTACCTTTGATTTCTTGATAGTTAAATTATGCTTTCTGTCTGATCGGCGTCTGCATACCAAAAATTATGTCTGTTACTTCGAGTTTGGAAACACCGCAGGTCACACAACCATCATGGCAGCGCCCGTGCGAGTTGTCGCTCTGGGACAGAAGTTGGTTAGGTTTCACAATGCAAGGACAGCATTCAATGTCATTCACCGGTAAGACAAGGGGAAGATGTTTGCTTGAAGTTAAGGTAAATACATGCCGCCATTATCCTTGGTTGAACATAGTACGGCTATGTGGCATGTAGCCCGGGCCCTTTGTCGATGTTAATGATTATGTAATGTCAAAGCCGTGATGCCAATCTGCACGTCAATCCTTAAATCTGGAGGATGTGTGCATAGAACTCATGTTAGGTCAACTGGTGCTGAATTTTCAGACGAATTCTGTTAGGGATGACAGGATATTTGTGTTCAAACTTTCTAACCAACATCATAGCTCCTTGAAACAGCAGCTCCATGTGGTGAAGTTTTTGGTGAACAAGCGCTTAGCTCTCAAGTCTTACAATACATGGTGTGGATATACCAATGCTCCTGTTGCAATATTGCTGTGACACCAGATATGTTCAACATAACATGCATATGTCAGTCTGCCTTTAATGAATTTTACTTGCTTGTAGTTAACTTACTTCCATGTCATTTGGCTAATAATGATCATGTCTAGCTCATGCAATTTGTTGTAATTAAGATACAGCTATGCTGCAATTGAGCACTGCTACATTTTAAGTTGTTATGATATAGTGTCTCTCCATGTACTGACCTGATTGAATCAGTGGTTGGTTTATATGTGATAACCCATTTTGAATCAGTGGTTGGTTTATGTGTGATAACCTATTTAGAATTCATAATATCTCCAATAGGAAAATTGGTGCTCTGAAGTTTTATTTTCACTTCAGCTTCTTCTGTTATCAGATCACATTTTATCTCCAAGTGTCTTTGTAGTCCTGTTGCAGAGTGATGGAAATTAAAGTGATGATATTTGATGAACCTTTTCCCTCTGTTGTATGCAATCTATACAGGTTTAAATAATAGAAGACATGCCTGACAAAGCAGTAATTGTTTAAGGCTTATTTTAGAGCAGTGCACTATGCATGCTATCTATGTAAGCAGTGCATTGATCAAGCTTAGCACAGGATTGCATCAGCAAACTTATTCAGAAGACCAGAAGCTACAAGCATGATTAAGAAGGTGTGGGAGTTTAGGAAGTTTTGATGGGTCCAACAAAATCTGGTAGAATAAGTGTAATGTATTCATGAGTGCTTAATTCAGGCAGGGCCTTCTCTGCAAATTTTCAACAGTTCTTCACCTGCCTTATACTTTTCAACCCACACCCACAGTCTTGGCCACGAGTTCCACAGCAAACAATCCTTTCTTGGGGAGTGCCTGGTGCTATCATGGGTCATCACATCTCATATCTAAGGGTGGTAAAGAGGCCAGGCACCCCATACCCATCAGTATACAAATATGTCCACATACTCAGCTCCAGAAAGTTGTTTTATGATCCCAGCTGTTTTTTGTCAGATTACAAAGGATGAAGGCTTAAATTATTATGGCAGCTTGAACAGAGAAGATATTGAACAATAACAACATAACTATCACCCTCAAATCACAGCTCACAACTAGAAGCTAATAGGAAACTTTCACTTATTTACAGGGTTATAGAATAAGGTCCTTGCAACCCTCTGGCTACACTGTTGTGTATACAGTTTGCTTTGCATCTCTTACCTATTTTGAATGTAATGGTCCAGGTCAGCTGTAAGTTTTGGATATTCTTATGAGTTGTGACCACCTAGTCAATGAAAGCTCATGTGCACTTTTAGCATGAGTATCTGGTGGGATTATCTATCTGGTTTTGACAGTGTCAGGTACGTTCATGTTTGTTAATTGGATGATTGCAACGTGACTGATGTCATGCATTTTGGGTCATGCAATTGTCATGCAATTGGGTACCATTATTTCATCAGGGTGCATTAGAGGCATGACCCTGCCATTTGCGTTAATGGCTGGAGTGCAGTAATAATTGGCCAAGTTGTACATGCATGTGCATGCACAGGTTTTTACTGCAGTGGTGAGGTTTTGAATTAAATAGTTCTGTTTTCAATTTTTTGTACCTCGCTATCTACAAGTGACAATAACTGAATTATGTACTCACTTACCTGCACCACCAAGTTAAGAGAGCCAGGCTACACATGGTTAGATGGCTAGCATTTCAGTATGGTTACGAAAAGCTCGTGGATATCATGGCACCACAATTTTCCAATTAATTTTGCCACACCACTGAACCACTTCCATGGAATTATTTCCTCACCTGCCCATGCAGCCTAGCTGGCCAGCAGCAGCCGTGCTGAGCATGCGAGCCATTGCAGGCGGTGGGCGGGCGACGGGGCTCGGCCCGCGCCGCGGCCCTCCGAGCCGGCCGAGGATGCGCCGCTGCCCTTCTCCAGCAGTGGCGCCGCGACCTGGCGCGCGCGCGACACGTTCGGCGGCGGTGCCGAGGAGGACGACACGCCCTGGTACCAGATGCCGTCCGTGCTCATCTCGGTGACGGCTCTGCTCGTCTACTTCTGCGTGCTGCGCGAGGAGAACGACATCGACGAGAGGCTGGGGCGCGACGCGCTCCGCGACGTGCCCGGTCTCGAGCGGCAGACGCTCGAGGCGTACGTGCGCCACGAGGAGGCGGCCGGCCGCACCGCCGACGCCGAGCGCCGCCGACTGGAGGAGCTGCTGGTGCTGGAGTCAGCCGAGCGGGAGCGGAAGCAGAAGCGCGCGCCCCCGGGGCCGGCATAGTGCGTGGCGACTAGTGCTGGACAACAGAAGTCAGTGGTGCTATGCAGGGATGGATATGCCGCGACGCGGCCCGGCAATCCAGAGCACTGGTTTCGTCTCTGATGCGCTTGTGAAGGGCGGGCTGAGGAGGAGAAAACTGTGAAATAAGTCTTCTGCGCTTGTTTCGTTTTCACCCCAGACTGGAGTGTGAATGGACGTAGTAATTTATACCGTGCCATCTTTCGTTGGCGTAAGATTGTCAGCAATTGATGTGTTGAAATGTGCAAATATACCGTGTTATCACAGCGGTGGTTTACTTCGTCTCGACCGTCACGTTGGCATGAGCTGACCGCGGACATTAAGGAGAGGGTGGTCAACAGTCCCAATGCGCGTTCCCGACGAAAAGGGAATGCAACAATTGCGACAGGTTTGGCGGCGGGCGGCTGACGCTTGCGCCCCCTTTCAGGGAGAGTTCCTCCCTGCACGCCGTCTGGGGAACGACTAGCTGCCAGCCGCCCGTCGCTGGCCAATCAGAGCTCCGCTCGATCCAGCCTCGCCTTCCGTCGGCGAGATGCGCCAGTCAGAAAGCTGGCGCTGGCGGACGAGAGAAACGCGAGCCCAGACACCCGTGGGATTTTAAACTTAGTCCGCTGTCAGCCCAGCTGCTCACGTCGATTTCGCTGTTGAGCTTCATGATCTACTTCTTCCTGTTACGTGAAGAGTCAGACGTGGACACTGCCATCTACCGACCGATCTGGGAACGTGTGCCAGACATTACTCCAGGTGGGCGATTGTATTTTTTTTTTGTGCGTGCCTCAAAAGTTTTGAAATTACGGCGATATTGTACGAGCTTGTTTCATGCAGGACTTTTGTATGGTGGCTTGTACCACACAACTGCGTGCTGCATGCACAACTGATGCTGAAATCTCGAGCGTGGTCAAATCAACAGGACACAGCAGCATTGGTTGTAAATTTAGCCTTTGTCAAACTGCCACATGACGTTGCCGCCTAAACGCCTCGCTACGCGGTCTGGTTGTAGAAGAAGGTTTCTGGTAGAAGTAATTGACTTTAAAGGACGCTTGAGCTGAATCTGAGCAGATGGGGTTAAATGCAGATGTTTTATGTGATCAGTTTGGAGTCATTGCACCGAATATAATTGACCTTCATTTTACCAGGAGGTTCCGGTGTAAGAACGTTATCAAGCAACCATTGGCCATGCTGCTGACTCGAGCGAACAATGTTAAGCAAACAAATATCATTCAAACGCTAAGGCAGAAAATGCTCCGAATCTGTGCCGGCACTACCATTAAAAGTATCTCAAAGTAGTTAATGACGCGAGTCCCATCATCCTAATAACCAATACGCGGTACTTTGCAAAGGGCACCCGACACGCACGCAGCTAAACCGGAAGGTTTCGATGCCCGCTTCGAGCATCAGGGGCGAAAGGGGCTTCTTAACGCGCTCCGTACGGTGACGGGAGTACGTCACCACTGAAAAAATTTCTTTAAGTGCATAACTTTAACAGCATTTCTTAAACCAAGTCACAACGCGTTTGTGTATTAAAACCTCGGACGCAGATTGCGGATGTGCTGCGATTGTAATGCCTGTAGACTTGCGTCGTCTTGTTAGGCCATTAGATCATAGAGCTGTTTTCAGATCACGAACGCTACGCTGTGTTTCTCATTTGAGCTAATGCTAGACAGAGGTTACAAGATATCTTATATGCTGCGTTCTTCCATCTACATTTTCCTTTCACACCACTAACAAACGTGGCAGGTTGCACTCCAACATGCACACGCTGCGGTGTCCAGGGCTGATCAAGCTGGCGGGAACTTTAAAGTGGGACCACTTGTTCGCCCTACCCCGAGGGTGTGTAAGCCTCTGAATTGTACGGTGGCACTCACCCGTTTTTCACAGTTTGCCATCTGTTGACGGGATTTTGACATCTGTGGACGGCATTTACATAAGCTGTTTGTTTTACGCGTCTACGGCGGCTTCTTCGCGAGTCTAATATAGCGTTAAATCGAGAACGTGACGTAGATGTCAGTCTGCAGTGCATCCGTTCTCACGGAAAGAAAACACATTTTAGCTGATTTGAACTCACGAGACTGTGGATCATAAGTTAAACCTCTGACACACCGCTCTCCGCATTCGTAATGTAAGGACGTCTCTCGTAACAGTCATGAGATGTGTCGAATTGTAATGCGATGGAATCACGGCTGCCAGGGGCTTCAAGTGTAGCGCAGTGTTATAGCTTCCATTTGGTTGGGCCACAAGGTGTCGGGGAACACAGCCGACACGTTGTGTGTAGTGTTTTCCGTAATGAACAAATTCTTGGATGGTGTTCATTGATTTTTGCAAGGAAATCTAGCGGTGAATTCAGCCCATGGGTGCCGGAACCGAGAATATCATCAATGCATCCCATGTAGTATGTACCTCACTGGTCTTGGACCACTTCTGGCTAGAAAGATGACTTAAGACTCAAGGCAATGCTCAAGTCTTAAAGCCAGACGTTTAGAATTGTAGCTTCAAGAGAGCGCATATGCTCAAGGGTATGTATATATTTTGTAGATGATCCGTCGCGACAGTTACATCCCGATGACTGTTAAATGACTAGACATAGTTCCAAACACCGCAATACCTTCTTGATTTGTTGTATAGTGTCGAGACAAGATTGTGTTGATCAGTTCTGCGGCAATGTTACCCTTACGCGATGTCTCGTGGTTCGTACATCTGTAAACAGCAGCTCTTCATGTGATCCCTTTTCCGCCTCAACCCAAGGCCCGACCAGTGTGATGATCCCGCCATTGAACGCACGAGCGATCATTCAACACGGCTTAGAACTAAATCCGAGGCAGACCTCGGACATGTAGTTCTAACCCCACGACCGCCAGTCATGGTCACGCTGTCTTTCACACGCCGTTCGTGACCAACCGGGCCTGTGCATGCTTCTGACATATCTGCAGCCGCCGACCTATTCAGCCGACTCGTTCGAATTCTGACACCATCGAACCAAAGCCCGTCCGGCACTAGCTAAACATAACTTGCAGGGACACCGCGCCGCCAGCCGAGCATAACCGCGGTCGTGCGTGCCGCAGATGTGGCGGAGCGAATGCTGGAGTCCGACAAACAGTTCGGTATTTTCTACGACGACAAAAAATGGGTGAAGAGTCTGGAGGAGTACAAGAAGCGCTACTACCTGGAGCACCCGGAGGCCCGGCCTCCTCAGGATGCGCCGCCCCGCTCCGGCTAGTAGTGCGGTGTATTGAGTATAGGCGACGCTTCTGTTTATGACAGGGGGAGAGGCAGCTGGTTTGCCACTCTATGTGACGTTCTTAGAAACATGGTCAGAGAAAATGGTGGCCAGATTGGCCGCTGTCTGTCTATTGGCGGCCTGCTTGGCCGGAGTTTGTCTGTGTGTGCGCCTGGACATGTCTATCCCACTGATGCCGATATTGAGTATCCGTGGACGGTGGAATGTCTATTCACTGTGAAAGGAAGCGTCTGAAACATCCTAGTATCGTTTGATGTGTTCAAGCTCGAGGACGGTAGAAGTAATGCCGTCACTGAATGCGTCATAAACGAAGTCACGGGTGAATCCATATCGCCCACGTGAGTGAGACTGCTAGACGGTCGCGTGTGCAGAGATCAGGGGTTTTGCGGTGTTCATTGTTTATGTGCCCGGTGTCGCCAGACGGTAACGACTGGGCAGAAGTTGGCGATTGGCGAGGTTGATATGAAAGTGAACCAGCTTTGTGTGCCAACATTTCGAAACATCGCCAGTCCGAAAGTGCAAAGGTCAATTAGGTTACAGCAGGCAGCCCATGACGAAACCGATCCACAAAAAATGATTAATTTCGGATGTAGCGCAGGTTTTCAAACAGACACGCAAAAAGGCCACTTTCCGTGACGGCTTCGTCCATATGCTAAGGACAGTACGGCTTTCAGCATTGGGCAGTGCCGTCCAAAACGTACTGCATGCATATCGATTTGTGGTTGCACACTGATAGCTTTTCAACAGCTCAGGAACTGACAATTTGCGCCACATGAGGTCTACGTAAGCGCTGCCACCGGATAACGATGCACGAGTAATAGCGGGCGTGGATGTAGTATTGATAGTGATTCATTGGCGTACGTCAGTGCTGCTGTCACTGGTAAGACAGTAGTGATAGCCTGCTTCCTCGGAGAAAAAAGAACAGGAGAATGGGAATATAGGTGCATTGATATTTCGGAAACATGTCCGTATCGAAACGCGTAGCAGAAGCACATATCGCTTCTGCTATTCGTTTCGATGAAGGCCGAAATATCGACGCATCTAAACCTCCATTCTCCTCGGTTTTCTCCAAGGAATAAGGCCATTACTACTGCTTTATCTATGTGTATGATGTTCCTGGCGAATGCACCCAACAGCTGCTGTCATTGATGCGAACAAGCGGCGTCGGAAAGGCTGGTATAAAGTCCCCGGCAGTAACTTAGAAACACGTGTTGTGTGTGTTGCCGTGGGGATGTATGGGTTCGTGGGGTCGCGGTGTGGCCCTTCGTCGTGGCTCAGAAATACATGCTGCGTGTAATGGTGACGCGTTTGGTCGGGTGTGTACGCCTGGACAGGATCGCAGGAGGCTGCAGCTGGAATGAATGAAAAATGTGTGTTGTGCAGACCGACTTCGTATATTCACCATGCAATGCGCCCACGGAAACCAGCCATCTTGCCACTCCACCGGTCGCACGTAGTTATCACGCGCATTTTCAGCCGTCGCTCGCGCAGTAGAGAGCGTGAGCGAAGCAAAATACGACGAGCCATGTTCCAGGTCGCTATATGGATCTTCTGCTCTGTGAATTTGAAGCAATGCATCGGCTCTTGACACATTTCAGCGCCGCGGCCACTTCACAGCTCGTCTCTCTGGGTGTCTGTGTTGGCGTCCGCCGTTGTCGCCGGCTGGCCAGCGACTGGTGCGTCCTGCTCTGCCCCGTGCGCTGCCCGCTCAGAGGCGTCTCCAGGGGCTGATCTGGGCGGGGCGTCCGTCTCAGGGGCGACTCCAGCGGACACCTTCTGGGCTGTCGCCGTCTCGTTCAGCTGTAACAAATATGGGCCGTGAGAAGCGCTTGCCGGGATCCCACCGGGATGCTCTGTCCCGAATGCAGCTGACTGCCACATACGTTGGGTAGCGTCTATTTCAGCGACTGTAGCTGGTTGATTGATTTCCCCCCCCCTCCCCCCCCCCCCCGATGCAAACCTTGTCGCTGAAGTTGTCGCATCACAGGCAATAGGAAAACCGCGGTGTTAAAAATATATTGTAGGTTTAACTACATGCGTGACAGCACTACCATGTTGAGGTTTTCTTAGGTTTCTGAAAGACACCCGTTTCTTATACTATAGGAGCTGACTTCCATAATTAAGATCCACATGCTCGATATAATAAGTCATTTGACCATTAATACATCGCGCACCACTAGTTACACAAATAAAAAGTGTTCTGGTCAGCAAATATAGATACCTTCCACATATTACTGCTCCCCACTGTTGTGTTCTTTTGCACTGTCAGGATAGGCACATCGCTAGTAGAGGAAAGAGTCAAGAACCCTTGTAGCCTTACATGATCCCCCATAACGATGGTGATAATGTTATCATTTAAGCAATTTAGACAACCGATTCATTCATCGGTTAACCTTCTCCCGCAGGCCATGGATCGGCCCGGACGTCAAAGACAGGCGACAACACTGTTAACCCATTGCTCTCGAACTTAGGCACCCACCTTGCGCAGGCTGGGGATTCCCCGCGACTTTTTACAGGCTTTCATTCTGGTGAGGCAGATGTCCTTGACGGTGCCGGCGATCCTCGGCTTCTTGCCCGGCTGAAAGGCGGCCAGCAGCCCCAGGCCCAGGTCGTTCTCGAAGCGAACTGCGCACACGCGCACGTAAAGGTTTGTCGGCCGGTCAGATCCCGACTGTGTGTCGACCGGTCAGATCCCGTCTGAGTGTCCGCCGGTCAGATCCCATCTGAGTGTCCGCCGGTCAGATCCCGACTGTGTCGGCCGGTCATATCTCGACTGAGTGTCCGCCGGTCAGATCCCGACTGTGTCGGCCGGTCATATCCCGACTGGGTGTCCGCCGGTCTGATTCCGACTGTGTCGGCCGGTCATATCCCGACTGGGTGTCGACCGGTCAGATCCCATCTGTGTCGGCCGGTCAGATCCCGACTGTGTGTCGGCCGGTCAGATCCCGACTGTAGGTCGACTGGTCAGATCCCGACTGTGTGTCGACCGGTCAGATCCCGTCTGTGCGTCGGCCGGTCAAATCCCGACTGTATGTGGACTGGTCAGATCCCGTCTGAGTGTCCGCCGGTCAGACCCCGACTGAGTGTCGGCCGGTCAGATCTCGACTGAGTGTCGACCGGTCAGATCCCATCTGTGCGTCGGCACAACATGTAATGCACTGGCACATAAGAGCAGCGGGTCACACGCTATATCAGTCACTCGCGACGAAAATACTGTAAAGCTTGTAAGTTTTTTGTGGCAAGGTATGCCAACGTTTTTTATAAGGATATTTTTCCATTATTCTTGCTTTGGTGGGCCAGAATTGTCTGGCCGCTTATAGGTATTATGCCCCCTGGTGAAATGGTTGGCATACTGGACCGGCACGTTAGAAATCCGGGTTCGAGTCTGGTGGGTGGATCCCAATTCCCGTACTATCTGGCGAAGAATACAGCTGAACTGCAAAATGGCCGGGAAATTTTGGCCGACCAAAGCTGGAGAAGCTAAAAACATTCCTAACAAAACACGACACATGGCGATTAAACATGCGCATGCGTGTTAGTACCAGCCACTGTCATTTTGGGACCAATACGTAAAGCGTAGAGATCTAGTGCCTCCGAAAACACGTTAACAACTCTGCACCGATATTTCGTGTTGTTTCTTTCGACACAGCACTGGATGTTTGACAGCATATGTGCACAGATAAACCCAGGCGAGCTCACGCCTGTCGACCCGACAGTTGCCCGCAATTATTGCCTTGGACGTTATGTTCTGTTAAAAGAGAACATGGCGCACGTCGCCACGTCGCTTTCATGGGTCGCCAGCGACCAGGAGCTCAGGCGCCACGGCGGAGTCCAACGCGCAACCCACTCGGCCAATACCGTCCTCGGACGTCAGTTGACCTATCAGTTGCCTTCACCTGCCTGATGCCAGCCTGAGCACCACGACGTACCAGCTATCCACAGCATGAGATCGCCTCCGAGGGCGGACGTACCGATGGGGCCACCTCCGAGGGCGGACGTACCGATGGGGCCGCCTCCGAGGGCGGACGTACCGATGAGGCCGCCTCCGAGGGCAGACGCACCGATGAGGTCGCCTCCGAGGGCGGACGTACCGATGAGATCGCGGCAGCTGGCCTCCAGTAGATCGGCGGGGAAGGCGTACCGGCCGAGCAGAGAGGCGGAGCAGACACGCTGCAGTGCTCCGTCTATCCGCTGCTCCAGGCTGTCGGCTGCGCTCTCCTTCACCAGCCGGTACATCTCTGGAGCGGCAGACACACGGCGAGGGAGGGGGGGGGGGGGGGGGGCGTTATGTGGTGACAGGTGGACGGCGCGGTTATTGGGCGACTGAGTCTTCCGGGCTGTTTAGTACGCGGTTTGGCGCAATGCACGCTCAGACAAGGCGTATTTAGGTGTTCAGGAGCAACAGTCATGAAATTGAGTTCGCCGTCGCCCTCTTCAGCTCTATTCAACATATCAACATTTGCGAAAAGATCACAAAACCACGAAACAAACGCATGTACGAATGCATTTTCCGCCCAGGAACTCGCGGCATGAATGAGAACACCGCTTCTCGAACTAACCCGCACAACGTTTGGAATGTCTGCTGTTCGTGTCCTGCTCCCTGGCAGAGGCAGATCTGAACCACAAGACTCCGCCGGCGCGCCACCACCAGCCAGCGCCGACTCACCGCAGACGGTGGCGTAGCAGGTCTCGCAGAAGAGGTCACGATCCTTCAGCGACTCCGGGAGGGGACGCTTCTCCGCCGCCGCGGGCCGGGGCAGCAGACAGCAGGACAGCATCAGGGCGACCCCTGCCACCCACAACGGGTCGGGCCTCATCCCCTGGCTTGAGATCACAAAGCTCCGAGGGCCGATCTAGACCACAGGTGCGGTGCTGCTCCGCAGAGCTGGAGACTCGGCAGAAACGTGGTTCAGTTTTCGTGGTCTGTTGCTTTGTTGTGCTGCATAAGAGGGTGTGGGGGGGGGGGGGGGCACTTCCACTTTTGTGTTCACCTCAGCAGCTGTCTTGCTGAGCTTCAGGTTCCGTGCCCTCAAGGCTCATGTAAGAATGAGCAGGACGCCAGCGGGCGGTGGCAGCAGGGCGTTGTTCCCGGTCAGGCCGGCCTGGCCTGCGCCCCTCGCTCGGGCGGACGCGGACCACACCACGAGAGGCCGACCGCCCGGCTGGTCGTGGCTGCGAGGAACCTCCGAAGGGTCCGTTGCCACAGCGTCACACTGACAGGCCGCTGACTGTATACGCCTGCGGAGCTGCCACGCCACCGCCGGGCCGACGCCTCACCACCGGCCTTATCGCGCGACCGCGTACCCGATAACGCCGACACACCGGCCCGATAGGGTGAGCAGGTGATGACGTCACACGACACACCGACCGGATAGGGTGAGCAGGTGATGACGCCATACGATATACCGGCCGGATAGTGTGAGCAGGTGATGCCATCATTCGACGCATCGACCGGATAGGGAACAGGTGATGACGTCATGCGACGCACCGGCCCAATAGGGTGGGCTGGTGATGACGTCACATGACACACCGACCCGATAGGGTGAGCAGGTGATGACGTCATATGACACACCGGCCGGATAGGGTGAGCTGGTGATGACATCATTCGACGCATCGACCGGATAGGGTGAACAGGTGATGACGTCATACGACGCACCGGTCCATCGGGGTGAGCTGGTGATGACGTCATACGACACACCGGCCGGACAGGGCGAGATGACGCCACACGCGGGCAAACTAGGCGGGCGTGTTTGCGTGGCAGCGTTCACCCGGAAGCCTTTAATTGAAGTGTTAACATGCGCTCGGATGGGGGTGGAGGTCAAATTGACCTTCCCGAAGGTTTTTCCAGAATGGCTTCTCGACGGCGCGGCGTAGCCGCGCCAAATTTTACATAGCTGTAGACCATTGAAGAGCGGATCGTCTGGCATCAAAAATTTAGGTGCACCCTGTAATGTTGCCGACCTATGACAGGTCAAAGTCGGGTCATGGTTTCAGCGAAGGCAATTTCTAGGGAACCGCTCAATCTGATGCAACAACGGAGTGTTTGACATGCATACATCTCTGAGATGTTTTCTTCTTAGAGGTCAGAATAGGTCATCTACCTGAGATGACCCAGGTCGACATTTTTTGGGGAACATACTGCTAGCGTAATCTTTGTTGCCTATTCGAATGCAAAACTCAGAGCAGTCTTGCGATTTTGGTCACCGTGACCTTCAGAAGGTCAAACAAGGTCACTAACTTCAAATGAGCTTGTAACGTACCTCAAGTGAGTTGACTTACAGGTCAACACACCCCGTGAATTTGGTGTTTCTAACTTTCTTAGTTCCCGAGATCTCAGGGCGGGAGTCAAACTGACCCTTCACCCGAGCAATGGGTATCTAGACGGCCACCCAGGCGCGCATTAAATCGACGAACAAATCGTGGATGGAAATGGCACTTGTCATAGACTTAAACCAGCGACGAATACCTACATCGTACGTAACCTTGCAGTAACATATCTGTAGATTTCCCAGTTCCCAAAAAGGCTGTCGACACCGCAAGCCGCTAGTGCCGCACCTAGCTTTACCTCCATAGCAAGCTCGTATTTACAAAGTAGTGCGACAATGTTTGTGAACTAGTTCGGTTACCAACATATATATTGTTTGTTTTCTCCAGCTCGCTGTTTTGGACTTTGCGCGTTCACGTGAAGAGCCTCAGTGTCCTTAACACAGACCCGTGTTCCCCTTCACTCCTTGATGAAGTTTGAAAACAAAGCTTTGCCAACTGCTTTCTTCGTGATATGAACGATAAAACCAAGTTATGTCGATAGTGAAAAAACTGACACACGCAATGACACCAAGTGTCGCGACAGACCACTATCAAGCCCTTATTAAAGCATTGGAGCCCCCCTCGGCTGAATCAGCTAAAACGCTACTTCAAAACGCTGCTTAAAAATGACACTAAAACCTCTCACTCTCTGCCAGTCGACAAACATGCGCTTGCCAACGAGCGAGCGGGGGATACCGCCACAGATCACCTCAGCCAGCAGTGATCCTCACCAACAAGTCACCGTCCACAAATCACACGCCACGACACCCAGCACCGCAGCCGCCGCCGGGTCGGAGCCGCGGCGTCGTCGGCACACCAGGCGGCGCCCTGCTCGCAAGTCGGTGCACACACAGGCTTTCGCTGCTGACGAGCCAGGCACGACGCGCGGCATCCAAGCATGTCGGCCGAAGCTGACACCCGTGTCAGACACCGGACCTCTGCACGCCCTCCAGCTGCCCCTCAGTCTGCCAGGCCGCGGCAGTTCCCCGCCTCCCGCTGCAGCAGGCTTGAGAATGCGCGGTACGTATGCGCGCGGTAGCTGCAATCGACTCGGCTCCTCTTCGGATCATCGTGACGCCGCCTCGGGCGATCATTGGCCGCGGGCGGCGCGGCTTCAGCGGGCGGCCGGCGGCGAGAGTAGCCGCGCCACCAGGTCCGGCGTCGCCTTCATTAGCGGGCGGCGCGGCTTCAGCGGGCGGCCGGCGACGGGAACAGCCGCGCCACCAGGTCCGGAGTCGCCTCCACTAGCGGGCAGCCGGCGGCGGGAACAGCCGCACCACCAGGTCCGGCGTTGCCTCCATTAGCGGGCGGCCGGCGGCGGGGACAGCCGCACCACCAGGTCCGGCGTCGCCTCCATTAGCAGGTGGCCGGCGGCGGGTACAGCCGCGCCACCAGGTCCGGCGTCGCCTCCATTATGGCCTCGCAGAACACCGCAGCACCCGCCGCAGCTGAGCACGACGGGCAAGACGTCAGGCGGGAGGCAATACGTCGCTCATGACCCGGTGTGCTCAGTAGTCTGGCAGTACTTGCACACAAATAATTTGGAAAAGGAGAGCCAGTTTGTGATCGGTATACGACAAATTTGCCGTGACCTTTGACCCAGTGTTGCCGCAATGCCCTCATGATTGTGGCGGACACCGAAACATCGCTTGCGCGCCGATGAGCTGTAATGTTCGGCGAAACAAAATACAGCCAGGTGTGGTTCGTATTGCTTAAATGGAAAAAGACCGCGGTCATGTCATACGAAGAAGAAGGCCGCACGATTCATCACTGCCAATGAATCACAGTGAACAGATCAATCATTAACGAGCTCGAAACCTCACAATATCATTCGTACATCTTTAGGTGATACCTGTGAGCCATATGACACGCAGAATAGCCGGTGACGCAGGGAGTGCACGTACTGCAATGACAGCCGCCCATGACAGAGGCCGGCCGGGACGGGAGGGGTCATACTGGGCAGGGGACACCCCTTCCACCGTGGGCTCAGACCACTCTCGGTGCTGCGGTCCCGGCACTGTATACTGGGCGCCGTGTGTGTGTATGGTCCCGTGGTCCCGGCAGTGTATGCCGGGAGCTGTGTGTGTATGGTCCCGCGGTCCCGGCAGTGTATGCCGTGAGCTGTGTGTGTATGACCCCGCAGTCCCGGCAGTGTATGCCGGGAGCTGTGTGTGTGTATAACCGCGGTATGCATATGTATATGGCGCTTGTTATGTATGATCCCGCGTCCCGCGTGTATGCTGGGCGCTTGTGTATGGTCCGGCTTCCTGGCAGTGTATCCGGGAGTGTGTGTGGTGTATATGGTCCCGTGGTCCCGGCAGTGTATGCTGGGCGCTGTGTGTGTGTATGGTCCGCGGCCCGGCAGTGTATGCGGACGCTGTGTGTGTATATGGTCCGTGGTCCCGGCAGGTGTATGCCGGACGCTGGGTGTGTGTATATGGTCCGTGGTCCCGGCAGTGTATACTGGGCGCTGTGTGTGTGTACGGTCCGCGGTCCCGGCAGTGTATACTGGGCGCTGTGTGTGTATGGTCCCGCGGTCCCGGCAGTGTATACTGGGCGCTGTGTGTGTATGGTCCCGCGGTCCGGCAGTGTATGCTGGGCACTGTGTGTGTACGGTCCCGCGGTCCCGGCAGTGTATGCCGGGCGCGCTGTGTGTGTACGGTCCCGCGGTCCGGCAGTGTATGTCGGGCGCTGTGTGTGTATGGTCCCGCGTGCACTGGGCGGCTGACCTGGGCCGGAGGCGGTGCGCGTCTCCGAGAATTTCTTCAGCTCGCAGACGACCGGCCGCCCCACCGCCGGAGCCTGACAGAGCGCGCCCAGCCGACCCTCCGGCTGTTGAGGCCGACCCGTGCCCTGAGGCACGGCACAGGTCACACTGAGCGGGAGGAAACGTCACAATCTCATTTCTGGGGATGGACTTGGTGAACCTTTTGATGCCTTTTTTCCGGAGTAAAAATGCGTAGTTTGGGGATGACTTCATTTCCGACATGGTCAAGACGTTGAGCAGAATAGAGGGGTTTACAGTCTCCAAACTCTCCTGCCTCTCTCCAACTCTCAGTCTCCAAACTTCTGCCTTCCAAACGCTGCTGCCCATCTCCACCAGAGACGGCGGGCCGCACCGTGCGTCTGGGCTGGATGTAGAAGAGCTCGCCGCTCCGCTCGGCCTCCGCCGACAGGTGGCACCACTCGCCGTCCGGGACGGCCAGCAGCTGGCGCACCGCGTCGCCGACCAGGTGAGCCGTCACCGCCGCCGAGCCGTCATCCAGCACCACCCTGCCAAAGGGGGGGGGGGAGGCTCGATCACGTGTCAGCACCACCCTGCCAAGGGAGCGGGGGGGGGGGAGGCTCGATCACGTGTCAGCACCACCCTGCCGAGGGAGTGAGGGGGCTTGGTCACGGATCAGCACCACCATGCACAGGGAGTGGGGAGGGAGTGGGGGGCTCGGTCACGGGTCAGCACCACCCTACCGAGGGTCGGCTCGGGGTGGCCTCGGGGTCAGCGCTACCATGCCGGGAGTAAAGACGTCACAGGGATATAAGCAGCACACTACAGCGAAGGTGGAAGGTCACGGCAACATCAGAATCCTCAGGGGTGGAGGCTCACACGTACTGTGACAGCATACAGGGCGGGTCATGGGGGTCACCTCACAGCAAAGCTATGCCACGTCCGTCCGTGCCAAATGACCCTCTCTGTGACAAGACGATGGGGCGTCTCTCGCGTGCCACCCTGATGGTGACAGCCCTCGCCCCCCGGGGCGTCTGCCACTCGCTGTCAGCTGACCCCAGCACCAGCCGAACCAGCAGCGGTGCCGGGCGGGCGCCGCCGCCCAGTCTGTCTCACCTGGCGCGGACGTTCAGCAGCGGCCGGTCGGAGCCATGACAGCCGACGAACGTACAGCGGCCGGCGGTGCAGCGGTGGCCACAGAGGGCGCACTCGGCGGCCAACGAGACG